AAGATGTGTTTGATAGACACACCCTGTCTCCATTAATAAAGATAGTGTTGAGGCTAGATTATGTTTGTCCTCACTCTTTTCTGACATAAATGGATCAAATTTTCACAAATATAGATATGAAAGTTCATTGAAAAACATAAAAGGTTTTCTGATATGGGACAATAATTCAGTACCAGTGCTGGCATTTCTGCCAGACTTTGGACCTTCTTTTTCACTTCAGTCCCATATCATCTGATCCTCAATTTAAAAAGGAGGAGGCAGAAGCAGGCTCCCATATCCAGTGACTGACTGTGCTCAACCTGAACCTCAGAGAGAGCAACCTGAATTTCACTGAGCCTGTTACTACCTTTGTGAAACTCACCACTCATAGAACTTACTCGACTGTTCTAGAAGGGAACAGAGTGGCCAACGTGAGTGTGAAAGAGCAGAGCAGGGAGGGGTGCACAGCTCGACGACTGAGTTGCCTTTCCAAAATAGAAAACACAGTGGGGGAAAAAAGGTTTTCTGTTAATGAGCAGCAAAGGCAATTTCTAAATCCAATCCTGTGATTGAACTTCAGGGCCAAAGCACATGCTTAAATCCTGAGAAAAAATTCTTTTTAAAGCTGCAGGAAAGCAAAGAATCATGTTGTAGTTCATCTTTAACCATCATTTGTGGTATCTGTTTATCCTTTTGAAAGTCTTCATATCCTGCACTGAGCATGATAGCCTCCAGGGGCTAAAATCCTTGCGTAGCATGCGCTGGGATCCCATATAAGCACCGGTTCTAATCCTGGCAGCCACACTTCCCATCCAGTTCCCTGTTTGTGGTCTGGGAAAGCACTCAAGGACAGCCCAAAGTCTTGGAACCATGTGCCTACATGGCAGATTTGGAAGATGCTCCTGGCTCCTGGCTTTGGATGGGTTCAGCTCTAGCAGTTGCAGCTACTTGGGAAGTGAATCAACAGACAGAAGATCTTTCTGTATGTCTGACTTTCCAATAAAAATAAATTAATTTTTAAAAACCTTTAAAAGTCTTCATATTCCATAACAAGATGGAGGTAATGCTTTTCTTTGATACTGTGATGTCCTGCTTATTACAGTAGATAGGTGAAATTTCATGGTTAAGTAAACTCATCTGTATAAATGAGTATTTGAAGTCATACTTTGGAAATCAAGGTATCAGTTCAATATTGTTTTATATAACTATTGCTTTGGGTTGGTGGACTTGTGTCATATTTTGATGGGTACCATGCAGAAAGAGTGTTTTGTTTTCTAGTACTAAGGCTACTGAAATGTATTTAAGTCTAAACACAAACGTGAACAAACCTCTGAAAAAAATCATGATTCAGAAGAGGGATTACTGTGGCACATAAAAACGTTTTCACAGCTTACTATGTGGAGCTGTTATAGATACCTGAGCCCATTGTTTTGAATCAGGTTGACTTTTACTCATTATGCTCTAACAAATCTTCATTGAGTGGCAACAAGTTGCAAGAATAAAGGAGCAGAAGGAAGCCTTGGTGGGCCGTGCAGTGCTGAGTGTTGGCACACTACAGCCTTGATGCATATTACATGATGGCAGCGATACCTTTTTGTGTGCTATAACTCGTCTCAATAATTAATGTCACCAGCACATGTTTCTAAGAGTTCCCAAAGTAAATAATTCACTGTAATTACTAAAGAGGAATGATATTACTTATTTATCAGAACTTATTTTTAAAAGTTCTTGATGAAAAAATCACCCTAGGGGCTCCAAATGTAAGAATTAAAGTTTTTTGTTCATCTACCTCCCACTGGTTCCCTTCCCTACTTAAAAAAAAATCCAACAGCAGCACCATTGTGTGTTAGGTATTTTGCCCTCCTGATGATTGGTTGGTTGGGGTTTGTAAAAGTTAATACAAGTAACTGTCTAATAAGGGCAGAATAAAATTAACTCCTCATCTTCCACAAGCCCATTTAGAATATGGGAATGCTCTGAAGTGATTTTTTTTTCAGTAGACTCTAAAAGATTTATTTATTTGAAAGTCAAAGTCGTGGTGGTGGTGGGGAACCATGATGGAGGGAGGAAAGGAAGGAACCTGGAATTCCATCTGGGTCCTCCATGAGGGTGTCAGGTACCCAAGTAATCTGGCCAGCCTCCACTGCTTACCCAGGAAACTGCATAGGAGGTGGAGTAGCCAACACATGAGGAGAACCCATGTGGGGTATGCACATTGGAGGTGGCACCTTAACTCACTGCACCACAACACAGGATTCCTCCTTAGACTATTAGTTGTATACTTTGCCATCTCATGTACCTTCCCATATCGAATGCAGAGAAAGCAGTTCTTCATTCATTTTGACATTTTCCTATGAGCTGCATGAGATAGTAACCTCCATAGAGACATTCTACAAATTATTTTTCAGCTTGATTCCAGGGCCGATTTTTCTTAAATGTTTATTTAAAAGGCAGAATAACAGAGGGAAAGGTAACTAGAAAGGCAGTGGGGGGTCGGTGAGAAGGAGAAGTAGGGAAAGAGAGAAGATAGATCTCACAGATACAGGTTTACTTTGCAAATGGCTATAACATCTGGGCTGAACCAAGCAGAAGCTAGCAGCCAGGAATTCATCCAGGGCTCTCATAGAGTAACCAGGGACTCAGGCAGTTGAGCAATGATCTGTTGTTTCTCAGGTGCCTTGGCAGGGAGTTGGATAAGAATCTGAGCAGTCTGGACTCAGTCCAGTTCTCTGATATCGGAACCAAACATGCACACTCCACAGCCTTGCACTTCCTGGAAAAAAATTTTTTTTTAATTTTGGTTATACTTTATCAGTATTTAAAGCTTACCTTATGTGTGTGTGTGTGTGTGTGCTGCTCACAGATGTGGCATATTTCTTGTTGCTTTATCTTTTTAACACAATATTTTCTCAACAGTTTTTCATATACTTGGTGTTCCCTGCGTATGACTTTCCAACTCACAAACTTTCCCCTGCTTTTATAAATCTCTCAGTGGCTGTAGGTATTCTGTCAATCTCATCCTCCCAATTCTTGACTTAGAGGTCTTGCTTGTTCATCCAGTTCTTGGATGTTCTCCTGGTTTGTCCTTCATTATTATCCTGAAAAGTGCCTTTGTCTTCTTTTGTGTTGGGTTACATGCTTTCCTTATTATTGGCTTAGTTCTTCAATTGGGCACTGTATATCTTCCAAGAATTTGCTGTTAAAGATGATGGTTCACACACCTGGATCCCTGCCACCCACTTGGGCTACCAGGATAGAGTTCTGAGACTCTGGCAGTCTCAGACTCAGCTGTTGTGAACTGGGGAAATGAACCAATCTCCTGCCCCTCTTCTTGTGTTGCTAACCCTGTTTTCCTATCATGCCAAAGTCAAGAAGATTGACAAGGAATTGTACAAATGTCCATTTGTTTCTTTTGTTTATATGCTGATGTTCAGTTGAATTCTCAACCTTTCAGTATATTTTTTCTTATTTCCTTAGATGAACTTGTAATTGATATTATAAAGTTGTTGCTAATGTACCTCAAAATTGGAATGAGCTGTTTATAGCATCTGACTTGCTTTGTCTTGTTTCATCTTTTTGCTTTTGTTTGTATGCCCTGGCCATCCTGAACTAATTTTCAATTTATGTTGGACATAGTTTCTAAAATAATAATAATAATAATAAAGTGTGGATGTACTTGATAGTAATATGTTAATTCCTGAGAGTGTTCATTGTCTCTATCTACTGAGAAAAGAAGTAGTGGCTGCTCGGTTTAATCCAATCATGGATCATGATTTTTTTTTTTTTTTTGCAGAAATGAGGCTGGTATGTCTAAAACCATCTTTAGTTTATCTCTGGCTCTCCTGCATCCTTACTTGAAATCTTAGGATGATATTTGAGTATTCTTCCCATTATAGCTTACAAACTCTGAAATCATATTCTCATGAGCTGCCCAAAAACTCCATCAGCTTTTCAGATCTTTGGCAAATATTCTCAGGGAAAAACTGTCGCCTGCTTGATGCCACCTAGATGTGTCCTGCAGCAGGAGTCCTTGTACATTCAAAGCTGAACTCTGTGTTGGTGACTGACAGATGCAACTCAGTCCCTTCTCCATTCCTACAACAAAACACTTGAGGCTGGTTGATTTATGAAGAAAAGCAGTCAAGCCAGCTCGCAGTTGTGCAGGTTGAATAGCCTAGCACCTGCTGAGCTCCTGATGAGAGCTACCTCGTGGTTAGCGCACACCAGAAGGGGCCAAGCCATGGGATGGTCTTGCATGCAGCTCACTCTCACACTCCCACAGTTAACTATTCTAATACTCTATGACTTAACTCACTTGTCAAAGACATTTGATCTTGAGAAAAAGCCACCATTATATTATTGAGAGCCCCTGTGAACTGGTTATCTCATAGAGAACCCACCATCTCTCATGCTCTTTCATTGGGAATCCCATTGGGGAGGGTGAACTATATCCAAATCTTAGCTGTCTGAAGTTAAAAATGTTCACAAAAAGTCACATCAACTTTTTAAAGTGTTAGCTGCCTCAAAATATAGCTCTATCAGCTCTCAGTGCCTCAGCTGCCTTCTGAGGCATTCAAATAACATTTCAGGTTTATCTGGTTGACTCTGCAGAAGCACCGGTCATGAGCTACTATTTCCCACCTGGAATCAGAAGGCATTAGGTTGAGCTTATTATTTTGAGAATTGAAACTTTTATTTGTATAATGTTTGGAGAATTAATTTGGAGATTTGTCAAAGTGTTTAAAATCACAGCTGAAGTTAGTGGACTGACATTCCTTTTTCCATGCCAGAGCGCTTTGTTAGAACTAAAATAATATGATTGATCAAGATTTGTTATTTATTTATTTACTTATTTACTTATTTTTATTCTTGTACTTGAACTTTAATGTGGACCAATAGAGGAAAATTTAAGTTTTGAATATTAGTATATTTGGATTTATACAGAAGCAAATATATTTGTATATATAAAATCAATGTAGAATGTGGATTATTGATGTACTACATACTGTTTTATTTTCCAGCATCTTACATTCACCAGGGAGTTTGATTCAGATTCTCTTAGACATTACAGCTGGGCTGCAGACACGCTGGACAATGTCAATCTTGTCTCAAGCCCTATTCATTCAGGGTGAGTCATCTGTCACTTTATCCTATAAGGTTAAAATTATTTGATTACATAGAGTTGTAAATTCAGTTTGGCAAGCTTCAGCTACATTAATATACTCATATATAAAATAAATACTCGTTAGTATATATGGCATATGAATCATGGTAAATATTTTTCTAAGCAATAAATCTATATTTTTATTAATAAAAGTACAGCATCAAGTAAAAATCCAACTATTTGTTTGTCAGCATTTCTTGGTTATTCTGATCATCTGGGTCTTAGACTCTTTAAAAATTGAACAATTATTTTTCTTTAATTTGCTTACTATTAAAATGAATTTTCTAGGTATCTGATTTTTCCTTCTAATAAATGAAAGATATAGACTTTCTGTTAATTTACTACACTGACTTTGTGTTTCACTTCTAATGTTAAATGAATTTGACTCTAATATATAGCTTTTCAATAACAAGTAAGCTCTTTTTTGTTTTTTTTTTCTCATTGCTCTCCACCTGGCATATAGGCCCATCATTTGACAAATGATTCTGTTGTTGGTGGTCCATTAAAGCTTAAAGTACAAACTTGAAACTTTTAATCAGTTGCTAGCTTCCATGTTTCTAAAATAAAATTACAGCAAGTTGTGTTAAAAGAAGAAAAATAAGTATATAAATGCATAAAAGTACTTTAAAAGTTTATGGAAAATGGACTTAAAAAGAAATAAGTTCATTTAGAGGAAAGTACTTTTGAAATCCACGTTTCTTAGAAGTCAAAAAAATTTCAGGGCCTGGTGCAGTAGCCTGTGGATAAAGTCCTCACCTTTATGCACCAGGAACCCATATGGGTGCTGGTTTGTGTCCTGGCTGCTCCACTTCCCTTCCAGCTCCCTGCTTGTGACCTGAGAGAGCAGGAGAGGATGGTCAAGAGCTTTGGGACTCTGCACCTGTGTGGGAAACCCAGAAGAAGCTCCTGGCTTCTGCCTTTGGATCAGCTCAGTTCCAGCCATTGCAGCCACATGGGGAGTGAGCCAGTGAGCGGAAAATCTTCCTCTCTGCCTCTCCTTCTATATATGTGACTTTCTAATAAAAATTTTAAAATCTTTTAAAAGTTCAAAGCAAATATATATGATACTAAAACTACTGATGCAATTCAATATGTTTTTGTACCGAATAATTTTTAAATTCCATTTCCCATGAACTTTTGTTAAAATAACATTGTATTATGTGACACAGTTTCATAGGTACTGGGATTCCCACCACCCCTCCCATAACCCATGAACTTTTTGAAATCCCTGTGTATGTGCATCAAAGATCTTAGAATAAAACAAAACCAAACCAGCAAAACATCAGATTCAGTCCTCATGACTGCCTCGCTGGTCAGTGAGGTTTCACACAGGGGGCTTAAAGTGACCTGTTTCCATTATCAAATCGATAAAAATCAGTATATTTTCAAATAGCAGATATTTTACCTGCATGTACTTCACATTTGATACAATGTATATTTATGTGAGTTATCATACAAATTATGACTACTTCTAATTGAAATACATTGTAATTAATACTTCACATTTCTCTGGTTGATATTTCTGACACTGTACTCAATCCTTTACGTCTATTGCTCATTTAATACTTATCTAAACCTTCAAATGATGCTAAATGCTAGATATTACTCATTATCCTGATTTTATAAATGGGAAATCTGAGAATTGCTACAGGTTATTCAAAATGGCATTGCAATTATAACTATAAAACCTTTGCCTCACAACTTTGACAAGTAAGCAGTATCATGAAAGTGCTAATGATTGACATGAAAGTCTTTCATAATTTCCTGGTGATCTTTGTTAACATTTCATTCTTTAACCCAGAAAAATTGGATTGGTAGTAATTGGAATTATAGTAATATTAATTGTTAAACTACATGTTTGTGGATCTGAAAAAAAAAAAAAACATTTGGAAGAAAAGTACAAAACACTTGGAACTTGTTCAGCAAGCAGACCGGCTGAGTAGTTTTTACAGTTAGACTTGGGGAGTTTGCACAGACTTAGAAACATCACTTTGTGTTGTCTACATGTGAAACGGAAGCATTTAGTTTGGCAACTGAGAGGGTAAAGGAACATAGCATAATAGAATGAGAAATCAATCTCCTGCATGTCAGAAACTGTGATAATATCTGAACGTGTAAATTGACTTCTTCTTGAACTGTGCTGAAGACAATGAACATGTGAAACAAAGCCAAAGCAATGACAGGTGGTGTGGACTTGGCATCACTTGGAAATATTCCCCTAATGCCAGGTCTAAGGAATAGTTTATACAGCCATATAAAAGCAAATATGTTTCCAGATTGTCGCACAAACACCAAATGCTGTGGTTTCATTTGCTGATGGTTTTTATTTTTCCTTTGCTTGTCATTGGCATTTTCTGTTGCTTGCTTCTAATTATCTTACATTAATTTTTCCCATTTGCTTCTAAATTATTTTGCAGCTATTCTTCTCCACTTCCTCAGTATGATTCAAGGTGATAACTATGTCCTTTATGTGACTCATCCTTTTGTATCTTTAATTTATGTGCATTTCCCCACAATTAGATTGTTATCGGTGTTTGTAGTGTTTCAGCATTTGTTATCCTGCTGTTCCTCAAACTAGAAACACTCATGTGTACTAGTCTACGGACTGTAGAATTCACTGAATAGTTTAAATATTTACACTATGCAAGTGTTATTTAATATCACCTTTTGTTTCTGTAAGTTATGTTGCATGCCTTTTTTGCATAGAGTATGTTAGGAATGAGTTTGGAAAGCAAATTACTCCCTTTCATAATATTCTGGATAAAAGCACTGTATCCCAGTTAACACAGACTCCCACCTGCAGGCTGTGGGCCTTATGAGGTTGAAAACCTTAGATTGAGAGGTGGCCATTAATGATGGCCAACTACAAACTCTGTGCTGTGCAGAACACAGAGATTTTTCCAGTTTGTCATGAAAATCATCTGAGTCCATTTGATTCTGTTATTCTTTGTAGCCAAGGAAGCTTTATATTGACACTCATGATCTTTTTTTAACACTGCTTGCAGACTGCTCAGCCACGGTCATCTCTGTATGCCCCACTTACCTCTCCACTTATTCATCTGTGTGTCCAGCTGTATCCATCTCCACATCCATCAGTCTATTATTAATCACTGAGTCCAATCTATGCAGTATCTAAGTGCACATGGCACAGCCGTTGTATCCATGGATTGACTCCCTGAACATTCATTGTGTCCATGTTGTGTGCTTGAACTTTGCTTGGCTTTTCAGGTCAAGCAGTGTGCAAGACACCCTGGATCTGAATCATTCTCTCTATGTTGTGACTTAACTGCTGCCAGGGCAACAGTTGTCCCACCATGGAAATATTCCAGCCTGTGTTTGAATTAACGCAACTGAATTTTCAAATACAGACTTTGTCTTGAATCATTTCTAATCCATTCTGCTGCTGTTGTTCCCAAAGACTAGTTGATTTTAACTACCAAGTACAGGGTGATTGCGACTTGGGCTTCTGTATAATATTGCTACCCTGTCTTCATTGCTAAACTACAGTAGTTGTTGAGTAGGTATGTGTAAGAAAACTTTGGCACTCAGAGCAATTTCACGTGAGCCTCTTATTATTTAGCACTAGAAACAATTCTAGTGGGCTTTTGTCTAAGTAGGAAAGTAGCTTTGAATGGAAAGGAATGTCTTTTGTTTCCTTTTCAAATGAATCAGTCTTTCCTCTACTGGTCTCACTGTCTCAAAATAGAATTTTATCGAAGATTAATTGTTAAAATTTTATTGAAGACAGTTGTTTCAGAGAATAGTTAAAATGGTTAAGCCCACAGTCAATAACAGTGTGTAAAGCAAAGTTCCCTTTACTGATGATCAGAATTGGCTCTGGAAATCTGATGGATTGAAAATTGATCCCCTCATCCTATCACCTGATTCCAGTGGGAATCACAGGCCAGTATAGTTTGTTGAAAAGTACAATCTTTCAAGGTCAAAAATTAAAAGAAAGGGTCCCAAATTATGAAGTTCTTGCAAAGCTTTCAAATCTATTTGCAGGGTTTTAGAACTGTTTTTAGATAATCAAAAGAATTTTGATGGATGGGGTTATCATTTTCCCCAAAAATGCTTTTGGAATCCAAGTCATTTTCTAGCTCTCAGTAATTGGTAATGTATAATATGATGAAGTACATTTTAACATGTGAAAGTTATAATGCAAGAAAGAATATGTGTTGGTGTCAGCTTAACTGAGTCACCCTCTTCTGTCTGCTGGGCTCACTCATGTTATCAGAGCTCTTATCACTTTGTGATGACAGTGGGACCCCTCATGCATGACAAGAGACAGTGATTCCAGTATATTCTTACATGTGACACAATGAATTAGTTTATATTTCCATAGCTACCAGTGGGTAGTTGGCTTTTTTTTTTTTTGGTCCTAATTAGCTTCAATACAAAGCCTTCGTGACTGATTTATGCAACTGAGATTTTTTTTCCAAAAATTTCTGACTTCCTTTGGTACTGCTCTATAGCATATTCAATTGTAGTTTATTTTAAATTGCTCATCAGGCCATCTTTATACCAAAAAAGTTTTAATCCCTTTCCATCAAAATTGCCTTAGCACTTTTAGTCACTTTCCGCTTTTTATTCTTAAGTCTTGCATCTTTCTAGTAAAAGTTGGAGTGTGGGTATGATGAAATATGCATCTTGTTAGCTGGATATGTTTAGACATACTGTGGAGTGGAAGGGCTATAGTCAGCAGCATGTGGCAAAAACCATGGAGAGTTCAGATACACCTGGTACAACTCAGACAGCTCTCAGGCAGAGTGGAGTATTTTAGCTTTTGGTGCCTAGACATCAGAATTCTTTCAGTAGCCAGTTTTTATTTCAATTTTCAAACATTCATGATAGTTTTGAATCTCTGATAAAGCGGGTGGCTTTTGTTGGGGACCGTTGCTAAAAATCGGTTGTGATCTCCAGTTTTTGCCCAGTGCACAAGTTGAAATGCATGTTTGATGTGACTCCACTGTATTTACTTGCATTGATCTTTGAACAAGAGGGAACATTTGCTGTCATATTTGGCTTCTAAACCAGCTGTAAATGCAGTTTCTATCTTTGATTTGGCTTCTGCTTTTTCTCTCTGCAGGTTTCTGGTTAGCTTTATGGTGGATGCCAGAGGTGGCTCCATGAGAGGCAGCCGTCACCACGGGATGAGAATCATCATTCCTCCACGCAAGTGTACAGCCCCCACCCGAATCACCTGCCGATTGGTAAAGAGGCATAAACTGGCCAACCCACCCCCCATGGTGGAAGGAGAGGGCTTAGCCAGTAGGCTGGTAGAAATGGGTCCTGCAGGGGCACAATTTTTAGGGTAAGTTACTTTGTCAATTTCAGTCTTGGCCTTCCTACCCCGATGTTGATTTTCCTTGCCCTTGTGAACTCAAGGAGTTTACTGTTACACGTCCTTAGTTGGACCTGAATGAGCATATGTTCAGTGAAGTGTCGAAGGTCATAAAGCTGGGTGACTCTGTGAAAGGCTAACAGGCTTATCCGTCTTTTAACTCACTTCGCTGGTTGAGGCTTTGACTAACCAAGAAGCATGCTCTCTGCTCAGCCAAGTGCACGGAATCCCAGTGGCGCCCTATGGAAGTCAAGGCACCATTGTTAGGACAACCTTGAGCTGCTGGAATTATCTCACCATATTGTATGAATAAGTGCTTTGGGGACATGTGTTTTTAAAGATAATTTTTAGGGGATAATAAGCTGTGATGTGGTATTTTACAAAAAAAAAAAGGAAAAAAGCAATTTAATTCATTGTCTGAGGTGGCACTTGGGTGCAAATCAGGCAGGCTCTGTCGTGACTGACAGCTTGTTCACAATCTCCCCTTCTCGTTTCTCTTCCTGCTGCATGGATGTTATTCAGTAAACTGCATCTTCCTACCAATCCTCCCCCTGTAAATGAGGGTGAGAGCTTGGTTAGCCGAATCCTGCAGCTTGGGCCTCAAGGAACAAAATTTATTGGGTAGGACCTTTAATAGACAAGATACAGAATGTCTACACTTTCTTTTTTCCATTTGCAGTTTTTTTCTGTCACACCCATGGTCTTATTCCTGTCTTAGTTTATTTAAGTTCTTCTTAATGCTTTCAGTTGATGTGTGTCACTGAAAGAAACAAATCATAGTGGCTTGACTTGATGTAGCACTGCCTCCTCCCTTGTGCTTTTCAAGCATGTGGAATTCACTGCAAGCATTCTGCTTTCACACCTTGTGCTTCTGTAAGCCTTTCTTTCCTTTGAAATGTTTCTTCTGAATATGAAATTTTTTTTAAAAAAACAGACTGACAGTTTTCAATTTTAACCTAGAATAATCTAGTTAGCTGCAGGCTTGGAGTCAACATTTGCTCAGAAGGATGTACCTGTATGTATATAAATATTCATATATGTATCTGACTATGGAATTAGAGCTTCATAATAAGTACTTTTGAGTACTATGTCTACGGACTTTGAGCGGCAAAGTCATTAATAACTGAGCTGATTTTGAAATGTGTTGGGAATATGAGATGTTTCAATAAAATTGAATAGGCAGCCAAGAGGGTCTTGCTTTGAAGTTACGAAGTCCTTGCGTCTTGTTTCGCTGAAGCTGAGATGTGTTGGTATCTGTGGTTTGTCCGCTTGTCTGTCTGGTTGGTGTTCTTGCCTTGGCAGTCTGCATGAGGAAACCTGTTATGAAAAGTTATGCCTGGCTTTCACCTTGGTCAGAGACTTTGTTCATCCCTTCTCTCCAGTATTGTTGGATGTCATACACAACGCCGCATTCCTAAAAGACTGACAGAGACAGTATCTGACACATTAACCTGCAAAGATTGTATCTTTTTTCACCAAATAAATAAAATTGAATGTCTAAATGTTAAGGACAGATGCAAACAAGAGTAAATAGCTTAACTCTTGAAATGATGAACATTGTTAGGAGATATATGTATATTTTTTTTTGCCTAATAAGGACATTATAAAAGATATCTAATTTGATAGAGTTATAATTACTCTGTCAAAAGTAAAATTATCTTATTTATTATCCCCAATTTTAATGGAATGCTTCTGTAATGAATCTGTTATGCACATACTTATATTTATTTCATTTGATCATAACAACTAATGTCCCTTTTTATGCTGTTACCTACTTAAGCCTACATATTCATTTATTGCCAAAGTGCAAAGACCAAGACGTGAGGTTACATACAACCTCTGTAGGAGAATAATGATACTGTCTACTTACATGTCATAAGATAAAGCTGCACAATCCAACTACATAAACTGTGTGTGATTGTGGTCTGCTTACTTCCATTCATCTTTTTTACCTACTTATCCGTTTTTTAAAATTTAACCAAATGATTTCCCATGGCTTGGTTGGCTGTCTTCAATTTGCAGCCGTTCTTTTACATTCCTTTTCAAAAGGACACTGTCAAAAATATTTATGATTGTTCAAGCCAAGGAGTGATTTTTCAGGAAATTTGAATGTTCAATGCAGGTTACATTTAGAGCCAGGAAACATAAGTTGCCCACTGCTTTTTCACAAATTGAAAAATCATAGAAACTATTGAAAGAGTACAGGCCGTGCAAGTCATGGAAACTATTGGAGGGAGTAGATTGTTACACTGATTCTTTTCTTGTGAAGGGGAAAAAATAGCAATAATTTTTCAAACTAAGAAATTTACAGAATTTCTTTTTTAAAAGAAATGACTGTGTCCTTTTAAAACACTAGCATTTTTTGTATAATTAATGTGCTTCCAAAAAAATAGGCCAACTTGCTTATGGCCTATTTTAATAATGTTTGAATTTCTTGATTCAAAATTCCTATTTTTTGCTATTTTCCCCCATTAAATCCAATGCCTAACATGCAGTAGGCCTACAAGAATTATTTGTGAATGAATGAATGATGGCATGTTTTCAGGCTTCTAATATATTATTGTTTAATTAGCAAATGATTCTGCAGCTTTGAAATCATTCCCAACCTTAGTGGCACCTCTGATTTTCAAATGATTACTGTTGATGGAACAATTTTTTTAAAGTATGGTGTTGTAAATATGTTTAATTTGATATCAAAATAATGTGGATTTTTTTTCCAGCCCTGTCATAGTGGAAATCCCTCACTTTGGGTCCATGAGAGGAAAAGAGAGAGAACTCATAGTTCTTCGAAGTGAAAATGGTGAAACGTGGAAGGAGCATCAGTTTGACAGTAAAAATGAAGATTTAACTGAACTGCTAAATGGCATGGATGAAGGTAATAGCCATGGGTCCCTTTCAAGTCAGCGTGTGTAGGTCAAAGCCAAAAGAATGGCTGAACTTCTTTTCTCCAAGGCGTGGGATTCCACTTGATCTAACTTTAACCCCACAGTTGCAGTATTCTAGCATTTTGATGATTCAGTCTTTAATCAAATATACCAGTCTTTGCAAAATGCAAGAATTTTCAAATTTGAAAATGAGGAAGTTCGGGACTGACATTGTAGCATAGTGGGTAGAAGCTGCTACCTACAGGCATCCCAGATGGGTGCCCTTTCAAGTCCAAGCTGCTCCACTTGCAGGCCATTTGTGGAGTGAGCCAGTAGATGGAAGAACTGTCTATTCCTGTCTCTGCACTTCTGCTTTCAACTAAATCTTTATTTTTCTTTAGGAAAAAAATTAAAAGGTAAGGAAAAGGTTAGATAATAATGGAAGGTTTGCAAAGTAGATCTCTTTCAGAAAATATATTCACATTTTTTTTCACATTATATTTTCCAAACTCTTTCACTTTACACCCAGATTATTTCAGTATACTCCATAAATTTTTAATTGCTCCTGAATGATAATTCTCTTAAAACAGTGTCATCTAAGGTAATTAAGAAAGCTACAGTATTTTGAAAATGTTGCCCTTTGACCTAGTAAGATTGGTATGCAAGGATAGTTTGAAAAAATACTTTGGGGAAAGTGCTCATATGAATGCTGGTTTGAGTCTCAGCTGCTCCACTTGCAATCCAGCTCCCTGCTAATGTGCCAGTGAAAGCGAAGTTCATGCGTATGTGACTGTTGGATTTTGGAAGGCATCCTGCACAGTCTGTCAATGTTTCAGGGTTTGAGCTGCAATCTAGACCAACCTGCGGGTGTTTGAGGGTGACCCTAGGCAACTTCTGGATTCCCCTACCTGTTTTTTCCTGTGAAATTGAGATTACGTTCTGTACTTCATGGTCTTACCAGGAGGAATAAATAACATTTACATGGAACAGTTATGAAATAGAGTTCTTATCACCAAGCAAGCCTTTGATAAATATCAGGTATGGTCACTAATATATTCATTCTTCAGAAACCAAAACCTGTCATTGCAAAGGCTAGAGAGAAGACACAATCGCCCCAGCCGTGAATGGGAAGGTACTTTTCTAGCAGTGTAGAGTGAAATACGTAATTGCTGAGACACTGACAAATGCAGTCTTATATGAATATGTGAAAGAAAACACAATCCTGCAAAAGTGGTGGTTTTAATCCTACTATACAAAGAAGTAAATTGAGGTTTAGGGAACTTATCTAAGATTACCCTATTCAGGAGCATGACAGAGGTTGAAATCTCGTTTACCTGTTTTCTAAGATTGTTTAATTATAATCACTTTTAAAAGCATGTTATTTGAAAGAGTTAGAGCAGGCTGCTTGTGGCCTAGTGGGCTAAGCCACTGCCTATAATGCCAGCATCACAAATAAGTGCTGTTTCAAATCCCAGCCGTTCCACTTACAATCCAGCTCCCTGCTAATGTGCCTGCGAAAGCAATGGAAGATGGTCCAAGTTATATTTTAGGGTCCTGCCATCCTCATGGGAGACCTGGATGAAGCTCTTGGCTTCAGTGCAGCCAGTCCTGGCGCTTGCACGATTTGAGGAGTGACCAGTAAATAGAAGATTTTCTCTCTCTTTCTCTCTCTCTCTCTTTTCTACCCTCTTTCTCTGTAACTTTGCCTTTCAAATACATAAACCTTTTTAAAAAAGAATATACATAAGGAGATCAAAACTAATTAGTATTTGTAAAAGTGCTGAAGAAATAGGTAATTCAAGATAAAAATGGAGACAGTAGAATAAGTAAATTTTTCAGAGATAAATTTTCTTAGTATTTTAAATAAATGGGAAGATTTTATGGAAATGATAAAGTGGGTTACTGATTTATAAAATGCAGCATCTAGAGTGCTAACTCACTAAATTTTGGATGCTGATGAGTTTAGATAAAATGCCAAGTTGTCTGGACAAAGTCATCCCAGCTTTCATTATAGTTCACCCCTGGGAGGCAGCTGGTGCTGTGGCACAGCAAGTTGGCCACTGCTTCCCACATCTGCATTCCAAATCAGAGAAACCTGAGTGTGAGTCCCACTTCTACTTCTGACCCAGCTTCCTGCTGGTGCATTCTGCAAGGCAGTAGATGGCAGCTCGTGGGCTTGGGCCGCTGCCATCAGGGCCAGGGATTCACATGGAGTTGCTAACTCCTTGTTAAGACCTGGCCCAGGCCAGGCTGCTGCAAGCTTTGAGGAGTAAACTAACAAATCTTGTTCTCTCTTGTTGTGCCTCTCAAGTTAATGAAAATAAATGTTTAAACAGTCAATCCCCGAGAAATAAAAAATGTAAAAGAACATTTACTTCAAGAAAAGTTTGGAAAAAGGGAGAATATTCTAGACAAAAATGGAATAACCTAAGCACTGCCTAGGACTTTACAAACAGGGAAATGTTTTATGTATCTGAGTCGTCCAGTATTGTCATTTCTAGTCATATGTGGCTCTTAAGCCCTTGAAACGTGACAAGTCCAGTGAGAAATGTCATTTTCCATTTTGTCTAATATGTCATAGCCACATGAACCAGTGGCTGCCTCACTGTAGAGGACCGTTCCGGCAGGAACCCTTCATTCTGTGAAAGTGTCGTCCTTCATTTTTGAGTGGTTAGGATAGTACGAGTAATCCAGCTGATGTACAGTTATTTAAAAAGATGTCTATTGAACAAAATTTCTTGTTTTGTCCTGACTTGTCTTTATATTGTTTTCAAAAAACCAGTTTTCAAGTAGGCCTTAGTTTTGCTTAGACCAATGATGGGCTAGACACTCTCGCACACAGCTTCCATGAGACATTTTGAAGAAATGACAGCGTCCTTTCTCTTGAATTTCACGTCTAATCTTGAAAATGGCAGATTGGATTTCCCTGCTGCAATTTCTTAAGACCAGACACCCTTTGACTCCATTTTTGATCATTAAAAGGAAGCTTAGATGCTCCCAGGTCTGAAAAAAAAAAAAAATTAGACTTGAAAGTTACTAAATCAAGAATGAGAACTAAACTTTCAAGGCACAGTGATTTTCTTATGTATAAAGTTTTTAAGAATAATGAAGGCATCGTGGCCTGCAGTTTTGCACCTGAAGCTCCTTGAATCTGATTTCTGCCCAAGTGCAGACTCCACTGTCCACCACTGTTCTTTTGTTCTCACAGATCCTTCTTTCTCATCAGAACATCACCTACTGAAAGAGGCCGCAAATGGCCACAATAGCCAGGGTTAGGGCAGGCAAAGGCCAGGAGCCAGGAGCTTCTTCTTGGTCTCCCATGTGGGTGATAGAGACCCAAGCTCTTGGGCAATCCTCCACTGCTTTCCCAATTAGCAGTTAATTTGTTTTCCCAAATTAGTAGGGAGCTGGATTGGAAGTGGAGCAACTGGGACTTGAACCAGCACCCATGTGAGGTGCCAGCATCACAGGCTACAGCTTTACCCACTTTGCCACAACACCATCCCCTAGGCATACATTCTATCACCACCATATCCCAACCAGGAAATAATCTATCTGAACTTCTGAAATCTAGATTCCCTGGATTTGTATGTCTGTAAATGAATTGTGGCTCTCCTAGTACTTTTTGTAGAACAGAAATTTGACTTCAATGTTAGCTGGCATTTAACTCTGTCTTTACTAATCAAATCGTCCTCTTAAGTTCCTGTATGGTACATATTCAGGAAAATGTGAAGCTGAAAACGTAAATGGAGTCGAGTGTTCTTTGTAACTTGGCAACCCTGGGGACAAAGGCCACAGAGCTCTTGAACGAGGTGTGGTTGCAAAGCCCTATGGCAGGAAGGGTTAGAATGGCCTGGAGAACAGCTGCTCGGGCATGCAGGGCCTGTGAGGCAGGGCCAGCCTCTCTCTGGAGCAGCAGACATAGGTCTGGATCTGTTCCATGCCAATTCATGCTTTCTCAGCAGAGGAAAGACACCATAAAACAGAAACCACGCATCCCTGTGCCTGAATCACCTTTGCAAGGCACCAAATTGAATCCAAGTTGTAAGTTTAATGACAACCTTGTTTGAATTAAACTCACAAAGGTGAATCGCACTTGTTTAGAATCATGCGTCCCATATCCAACCTCAAGAGTGTTATATTAGACTGGGGAGCATTGCTAGTGAAAAATTCCTTCCTCTTTAGTGCTTTGAGGCGCTCAACTTAAAAGTCAAAGAACTTTTTAAAAAATGCCGCAGCTCTGCGCTGTCTGCTTCAGTAGCTGCCAGTCCCGTCTGGCTGTTGAGCACTGGCAATGGAGCTGAACAAATTGAAATGTGCTGCTAATGCAGACTATGCCAATTCATGTGAAGACCAGCACCTTCCTCCACATATCTCGTTAACCATTTTTACACTGGTCGCACATTGAAGTGGAAATATTTTAGATATGTGGGGCAAAATGGGTGATGGCTAGAATTATTTTCTCTTGACCATTTTTATTGTATCATGTAGCTAAAAGAAAATGTAAAATTAAATACATGGTTTCTGTTGTAGTGCTGTTAGTCCAACTCTGAGCAGTGTGTAGAGTTTATTTACATACCAGGATTTAAAAATAAAAATCAAGGCTACCAGAGTATCACATAGAAGGTCTTAAGGACATGTATAAATTGTGCTCTTATTTTAAAATCTTAATCACTGTGTTGGATCAAAATGTTGAAATCTCCCCCAAATAGTTTTATTAGGCCAAGAAAATATTTTCTCACTACGTGTCATTGTTTCAGATGATAACGTGTAGCATTTTAAAGATAATTAATTTTAGTTTAATAATTATACTATTCTATCATAAAGGAAAATTAGTACTTACTATGTAACACATTTTCCAAATTTATTATCTAGCTGCGTCAACAATCAGAAATAGCCACTTTTGTTTATTTTTACTTTAAATTGTTTATTACTGTTAGGCATAAGACAAATGATATCCTAAAGTGTCAAGTCATTTTTCAAGTAAGTGAAATATGCAGCTTTGTGTTGT